CTGTTCTAGTATTCCGACCACTCAAAGCACTTTACACTGCATACCACATTCACCCATTCACACACAATTCAAGTCAATTCAATATTATTTGTATAGAGCCAATTCATAACAGAAGTTATCTTAGGACACTTTTCAAATAGAGCAGGTCTAGACCGAACTCCTTATAGCATTATTTACAGTTCCCACCATGAGCAACACACACACCAATGACACAGCATCAGGAGCAATTTGGGGTTCAGTATCTTTCTCAAGGACACCTTGACATACAGGAGTAGGAGCTGGGGATTCAATTCAATTCAATTCAATTTTATTTGTATTGCGCAATTCATAACAGAAGTTATCTCAGGACACTTTTCAAATAGAGTCAAATAGAGTTTTCAATGTGTCCCTTATAGTAGGGAGGTTAAGCCCAAAAAATAGGCCTTTGACTTCAAGTCATGATGCAAAGGTCGCCTTTTATTTATCCTAAGACACAAGTGAGATCACACTTTGTATCAGAAATAAACACGTTTTTTCAAAAATGGCCGCCAATGCGCCGAAAATACTCTAGAGCCCATATCTTTGCTTCTGTTATCGCTATAATGACAAATTTGGTGTCACAGTGTACATTATTGGGATCAAGGAATCCAATAAAATTGGTTTCAAGTTTAAAAAAACAACAATTTTCCCCATACCATGACAATTGGGGGTAAATATGCACATTTCACATAAAAATTGTGTCATCAGAGTGACTTTACTCATCTTTTCCATCAAAAACTTTAATTTTGTATTTAAGCAGTGCAGCTACTTCTGTACATTACATTTGTCCTAAATAGCATGAGATTTCGACCAGTCAGGTGTAGCCTATAGCAAATCAGTTCCTGCAACAACACATCCCATGTGCACCAGGGGCTGTGACAGCTGTGACAGCTGATGAAGGTCAGAGGTGACAGGTTAACACTTTGAGGTAGCTAGCTAGTAACTAGTAAGCTTCATTATAACTAGGTCGCTAGTAGCTAGTTAGCTTAATCATAACTGGCTAGCTAGTAACTAGTAAGCTTCATTATAACTAGGTCGCTAGTAACTAGTTAGCTTAATCATAACTAGCTTGCTAGTAACAAGTGAGCTTTATTATAACTAGGTCACTAGTAACTAGTTAGCTTAATCATAACTAGCTAGCTAGTAACTAGTAAGCTTCATTATAACTAGGTCGCTAGTAACTAGTTAGCTTTATCATAACTAGCTAGCTAGTAACTAGTGAGCTTCATTATAACTAGCTAGTGACTAGTTAGCCTCGTTTTTATTGTAGCAAGCACATAGCCTACATGTTGCTAGCTAGTTAGTTAGCTTCATTATTTGATAGATTTTTACTTTTGCGAATGCTTGTTAATGCTCATATTATCTATCTCATGACGTTAAAGCAACTTCATTTCTTTTTTCAGATTAGCCATAATAGAATGCCGTGACTGGAGTTTATGCTTCCTATGTCAGTCCGCCCTACAGATTGAAAAAACATTAGATCCCTCATCATTCAAACTGAGAAACAATCCTGAAAGATTGCAATCATGTTACAAAGAAGCTGTAGATAACATCCAGGAGCTGAAGGCATTAGGGGATCTGCCTGAGTTTATAGTGGACATTAGTGGTGGTAGTCAGGATGTAGTTCAGCTGATGATTCAAAATCCTATGGTGTGGCACAAAAGCTGCAGAAATGCGATTGATAAACAAAAAGTTGAGAGAGCAAGAAAAAGAAAAAAGCATGAAGAGTCTGTGAGCCCAGTAAAAACACGGCGCATGAGTGACAAGTCCACCACACTCGCTTTACCCAGACCCTCAACATCATCATGTGAACCATTCGATAAACCGTGTCTCTTCTGTGGTGAAGTGGGCCAAAAAAAGGAACTGAGGAGGGCTGCCACCCTTGGCTTGGATAGAAAAGTAAAAGAATGTGCTCAGGTGGTGGGTGACAGGCATCTATTGGCTGAACTAGCTGCTGGTGACATGGTTGCTATTAATGCTGTTTATCATCGTGCATGCCTGACTAGGCTCTATAGAAAAGCAGAAACTGTTGGATGTGACTCAACTGAAAGTAATGCAACTCAGGTTATCAGAGCACATGTCCTCAATGAGTTGCTCGAATACATCGAGGACTATCGTTGCTCAGGGGAATCACTGGCAATGTCTGACTTGACAGTCCTCTATGACGAGCGCATTGCTGATCTTGGATTTCCAAACATCAAATGTAACACCACACGCCTTCGGGAGGATATTGAACGCCTGACTCCTGACATCAGATCAGTACAAATTAATCGTGTCTGGTCCCTTGTATTTGATGATGACCTGAGCAAAGCTGTTGCTGATGTGGCGGGGGTTGCGAACAAAAATGAATGCGAAGCTCTCAATGGGAATCTTAGGTTGCACGACAACGCCACCTTGGGAATTGCACCCAAGGAATTATTTTACACTGACCAAAAACACAGGTTCGTTCCACTCGACAGGCAAGACACGTGGTTCCCAGTTTACAAAAATACTTTATTTAATAAATATATATATCATTATAAAAAATAGCATTCATCCCAATAAATGAAAAAGGGAGCCTAATCAGGGGCTGAGGCCTACTGGTGGGGAAAGAGCAGGTGAAGGGAAGGGGACTCAACAAAATTAAATTAAAGAAAAGGGTTCACCCAGACACACGTGGCAGTCACACACTGTGGTATCACCAAATCCAAGGAAGCACAGCACACAAGAAGGAGGGACACCACCACCCACGTCACCAGCACCACCACCAGCCTGCAGCCACTGAGAAGGAAAACAAAGTTACAATGGAAGTATTTAACACAAAATATAAATAATATAATAAAAACAATATACAACATAAAGCAGGAAATAGTTAACCAATTAAGCTTACCAAGCTAGTTAATCAAAACAATAAACAAAACAAGTAATACAAAAATAAGGGATTAACTCCTCACCATCGTTCAGCTAAAATAAAAGGGATAAACAGATTGAAAGTATGGTGTCTGCAGTTCACCATGCAAGCCGGCTGAGCCAGAAGCCACCAGCAGCCAGAGCCGCAGAACACGGCAGCAAGGAATAAGTGACTGCAGAGGCAAAGCAGGGGACAATGTCACAAACAGCAGCAGAGACACAGCTATGCAGCTAGCAGTAGGGGCACAACAGCAGACATATAGTCGACAAAGCGGTATAAACAACACAGCAACCGTGTGTTTAACGGCAGTGGCAAAGCGGTGCGGACAAAGCAATGTAAATAAATCAGTGTAGACAAAGCATAGACAAAACACCGACAAAGCAGCGACAAGGCAGAGACAAAGCAGAGACAAAACACCGACAAAGCAGCGACAAGGCAGAGACAAAGCAGCAGCGGTCCCAATCAGCTGGTGGTGAAGGCACGTGAATCGCCACCTGTAGATTTCGGCCAGCTGACGAGCATTCCCTGTCAATAAACATACCATTAGCATGGCTAAACTACATTAATCAAAGCTTTTGAGAGTTAGATTTAAGGTAGCATACCTGTTTTCAAAGTCAAACCTGCACAGGGAGAGGGAGGGAGAGAGAGACCCACACGGCAGCGGACATCTACCTGTGACCACACTAGCGTTAGCTACAGGATAGCATTCGGTGTAACACAGAGAGAGGACACTTACCACCGCCAGAGAAACCAAGGTCTAAACGGAGCATGGAGCACAAAGCACGGGGCACTCGGTCGCTGCTCTGCAGTGAAAACACGCAGGCTTTAAGCAACAGGACACAGTAAAAGATGAAACAGAGCAGTAGCCGCAGCAGCGGCATGGAGCATTACCTGCACAGGCAAACACCTGACCCGGAAATGATGCGTTAGTGAGCGTGCGAGAAGGAGGGCCGTACTTATATACTGCCGCCCCAATGGTCAGCAGGTGCAATTAACTGCCGCATGACAGCCCTATGTCTATGCTGCTACACTGACATGAAAAACAACACTTCTACCGATGTCTCCATCATCTTCAAAGCAGCCAAAATCCTCCGGCAAGAGTATCCCCCCATGAAGCATGCTTTTACAGGTACCTTCTCAACTTCCTGTGAAGCTGATTCTATCCCTCCCATGCTGAGATCGTTCTTACACATGCTTCTTGATGGATCAGGTATTGATCAGCCACCTCCTGGACCTGAGAAGTCCCAGGCTGCAACATCCATTGGGCAGCAAATAATTTTCAACTCTGTAAGATGCAGATCCAAGAAACATGGCAGTGTTCCTCGTCACATAAGAGAGAGCGAAACACCAGCTTCGCTATATCTGGCAATGAAACTACACCAGCAAAGTGGTAGTAGATATCTGGTGGAGGCCATGCATAAAAGAGGAATGTGTATGTCACATGACCGCTTGAAAACATTTAGCATAGATATAGTGAATTCAGTGATCAGTCAATGGGAGCAGATTGGTGTCGTGGTCCCACCTCAGGCAGTCAAGGGTGTCTTCACCATTGGTGGTTTTGATAACATTGACCACAACCCATCATCGACAATAGCAACATCAGCCCTCCATGGAACATGCATCAGCATTCAACAGCACTTCTCTTCAGACAGCCAACAGACTGAGAATCTGACTGACATCCTAGATCCAGCTGAAATGGGGAAGAAGCATGTGAAATCCTTGCCACCTCACTACACAACCATGGATCTGGAGGTTTCACTGCCAACTGATGAGGTCTTGTATGTTCCTGCCCTGAATACCAACAGCCATCCTCATCCAGCCTCCCGTCCTCTCATCAATGTAATTGAAGAAGGCTACCAGTGGTTAGAGAGAGTCAGAAACATTCTCGTGAAAGAGAACCTTGAAGCCGGAGAATGGATCTCATGGGCTGCATATTATGCCAGCATCACAGAGGCTACTTCACCTCCCCCATCCAAATCATACATGTTGCCACTGTTCACAGAGCCCCCTACCAGCCCCACTATGGCTTGGCATGCAATGAAAGTCCTCAGACAAACAATCAGCTACCTTAATCCAGGTCAGACTACCAGTCATGGTAGCTGATCAACCACTCTTCACACTGGCCAAGAAACTTCAGTGGAAGTTTCCTCAGACTGAGCTTGGCGAGGATTCCTTCCTGGTAACACTGGGGCCAATGCATACCGAAAAGATGCTGTGGAGCGTGTCTGGTGACTGGCTGGATGGCAGCGGGTGGACCACAGCTCTTATCAATAGTGGCATCTCGACTAGTGGCAAAGCTCAGGCCTTCATTAGTGTTCACCACATATGCAGAACCCGATACATGCATCAGGTGTCTGTAGCTGCTCTCTATGTGCTCATGAAGAAGGCTTATGATAAGTACATGAAGAAGGCAACAAATGACAATGATGAGCCGAGCGATCTCATCACTCAGCCTTTTGATGAATGGCTCAAGATGCTTTGTGCCTCACAGCCCCAAGCAGATTTCTGGTTCAAGTCCATGGAGCTGGATCTTCTCATTCTTCAGGTAAGATATGTTCAAATCGTGTGTTTCATTCAGTCCTTTATCCAATTCATATTCTTAAGTCAAGATTAAAGCTCCTTCACCTAGTATTTCATATAAATATTATTTGTTTTTTCAGTTTGTCAAGTCCTGTTGCTCAGCAGACTTCTCCCTCTACATGGAGACACTTGACTCTCTGATGCCATGGGTATTTGCACTGGATCATACGAACTATGCCCGGAACCTACCCATCCATCTCCGTGATATGGCTACATTAGAAGAACGACATCCTGCTCTGTTTGTGGAGTTCCAGAGTGGTCACTTCATGGGGTAGAAGTCGAGACGAGCGTTCTCCAAGATCCCCCATGACCAGATGCATGAGCAACTAATTGATTGGCTCAAGAATCATGGTGGTGTCATAGAGAACCTGGACGACCCAGACACAGTTCGCCGAGAGCAGGTTGTTCGCCCTGAGCTGGCACGCCTAGTCCGAGAATTCGAGGGATCAAAGGAATCAGATGAACGGAGGCACCATGAACAATACCCAAAATTTCAAGATGACTATAAGGTACATTTCTGTTGTATTGGAAATTGAGAGATAACTATGCATTTCAGTAGTATGAATGATTTGTAATTTGTTTTTATCATTTTATTTTCAGACTGATGTACTGGCACTGGTGGATGCCTTTGAGGATCTGGGAAATCCCTTCATGGAGGATAGTGGGGATCTGCTGGACTTGAATCATGAATCAATTGTCATGCCCCCAGATGTGGTAGACAATGTAAGGGAAGCGAAGAACATTGTTCATTGTTCAAGGCTCCAATTTCCCAACGATGCAACAAATCAGAGGTGGCTGTGGTCAAGGACCAACAAGCAAGAATGACCCAACTTTTGCTGGCTGTTCATTCTGGTCGCAAAATTGATGAGGGAGTGTTCTCACATGAAAGTTCTCCCCATCTACCTTCACTCACTCGGAAGGGAAAAATGCATCACGGAAACAAGAGTGAGATTCTAGATTGCATTGTCCCCAGAAATTTAGACAACCACAGACCTGTGACAACTGCAGCTGTGCTGGATGGTGCTGTCCTTGTTCAGATGCTTCGTCCTGGAAGTGCTGTGACCATTGGACAATATTTCACAGATGTGTTTGCACCATACATCCATTCCTGGTTTGAAAGAAATGACCGCGTTGACATTGTCTGGGATGTGTACTCGAAGACAAGTTTGAAGTCCGGAACTCGGGAGTAAAGAGGCACTGGTGCAAGAAGGAGGGCTACTCTCTCAACCAAAGTTCCTGGCAACTGGGCTTCCTTCCTACGAGTGGATCTGAACAAGCAGGAGTTGTTCATGGAGCTGGCCAAAAGCTTGAAGCTCATGACACTTCCACAGGTATTCAAAAAATTCAAATTCAAATTCAAAATTACTTTATTTATCCCAGAGGGGAAATTCAACTAGTCTGTTAGCTCTTCTGTAAATTATTGAAGAATTAGACAGCCTGATGGCTGTAGGAGCGAAGGATCTTAGAGGAGCCATCCACTGCTGTTTTTATGGTCCATTTATTTCTTAAATTGTTCTGTTACATGCTGTAGTCAATACAACTGACTTCACTGGCATATCCTCAGTGACATTCAGATGTCCTATCTTTCTTTTTCCAGGGCAAGGAGCTCTTCACCACTATGCTTGAGGACTGTGTAAGTTCACCAGCTGGCATTGACACTGATGCACTGGCCCCTTGCACACATGAGGAAGCCGATACACAGATTTTCCTGCATGTGGCTGCAGCTACTGTTGCTGGACATCATCGAGTGATTGTCCGCAGCAGTGATAGTGATGTTGTTGTACTGGCCATTGCCACCTTTGTCGACCTTGGACAGAAGATCGACAAACTCTGGATTGCCTTTGGTGTATGGCGCCACTTCAGGTATAGATCATTTCACTAAGATGTATTTATTCTATTAGCTCTTATTTCAGTAGACCAATCAATAACTATTTTTCCCCTTTCCAGGTACATTCCAGCACATGCCATTGCTCACAGTCTTGGACCATCCAAGGCAATGGCACTGCCAGCATTTCATGCCCTAACGGGGTGTGACACTACCTCTGCATTCTTTGGCAAAGGCAAGAAAACAGCCTGGTCCGTGTGGCAGTCCCTGCCTGAGCTCACCTTACCACTTCAGCTGCTCTCTGGCCCAACCCCCACCACTGAGATGATCAGAACCCACACACCCACCCTCCAGAGATTTGTCCTGATGCTCTATGGTGTATCTGAGGACAACATCACAACTCTTCTTCCACAAAGGAAAAGACTTTGACCACATGCCACCAAGCAGTGATGCACTCCATCAGCACCTCCTTCGAGTAGCTTATCAGGTAAGACAACTTTGCATAGGGGCATAATATAAACATGGCTAAGAATAATGAAGGGCCTTTGTATCACTAATCATGTTTCTCTTTAGAGTGGACATGTATGGGGCAATACACTTGTCAAAGACCATGCAACAGTATTGCCGTCTCTATGGGGATGGCAGCAGGATTCCCCAGACTCTCCACCAACTCCTGTCTACACTACAACTGCCACTGTTTCAAAGGACTTGCCAGAACTTGTCATTTGCAAGTGTAAGACTGACTGTAAGGCACCTTGCAAATGCTGCATGCAGAGGCTGCCTTGCATGTCTCTCTGTGGATGTCGTGGCTCATGTTCCCACAGTGGTGCAGACATCTAAATAGAAAATCATCTTAGTGATGTATTTACACTAAACATTGGCCACACGACATTGGGTATGGCATTGCCTACCTAAACGAACATGTTATGAACTCTGTCTCACTAATCAGTTCCTTTGCATCAATAATACACATATTCAACACTTAAGTTGTTATTTATTAAATTATTATTAAGTTGTGAATGGACGTGTGTTTGGCATGCGTTTTTAATAAAATTCATACACCAATGTCAGTAAGGACAACATTATTGTTTTTAGTCTGGAACCATTTTATGGACTCCTGACCCCAAATATGTACACGTAACCAAATTCATTATAGCTATAACAGAAGCAAAGATATGTGCCTCTCAAGTATGGTCGGCGGCCATTTTAAAAAAATGTGCATATATAAGATACAAAATGTGATCTCACTTGTGTCTTAGGATACATTTTTTTCTATGGCCCTAAGGTACTTCCATACCAAAGGGGACATTTGTATCATGACTTGAAGTCAAAAGTCACTTAACCTCCCTACTATTAGGAGGATTGGCAGAAATGGAATCCACCACTAAGCTCCAGGATAATTAGAATCTGATTCTCAAATGCTGACAGCAATTGCTGTAATGCTTTGATTACCAGCAATAAAACATACATCCATTATGCATTCATGCAGTTATTATCTGTATCACATTCTGTTTCAATATACAGCCTTTGTTCAAAATTGACATGCTGTTTGATACACACACTATCTGAAATCAAATCAAAGCAGTGACATGATTATTAACCCTTCCCTGTATGTGTGTGGAATATTATCACAACGTCTGGACAAGCAAACATCTTGGGACAGTGGAGACAGTCTCAGCAGAGCAGATGTGTGATTGGTGCCGACAGGACGGTTTGTGTGTGAGAAAATGAGGGCTGGCAGCACTAATAGTGGCCCTTTTTCATCTTGCTGCTCTATTCATCACTCTGCTGAATGCTTATTACACAGATGTCCTGAGCAGCCAGTCTGCAGTTTGCAGAGCAAGGTCACATGGTGGTTAAGATGTAAACATGGACATGTTTGACAGCACCGGAGGGTAAATGTCGATTAATACAAATAAGTTAATATTATATTAACTCATTAAGAATAGAAGGCAAATAGGGCCGCATTAATAAAATGATTTATATAATTACATATAAGATGATTTATATATAATATATAAGTCAGAACAGAAAGTATTAAATGAATATTTCAATGTGTCCTGCTTTTTTCTGTAATCTTTATAAAATATCAACACAACAGCCTCCATAGAGTAGTGTTAAATAGTAGAAATACAATTGTAGTATATGTACAGATAAAAAGCAAAAACAAAAAGACGCGCGTAATAATGCAGAAATTGCATTATGACAAATTAAAATTTAAATGTTGAATTTTGTAATTGTCACATTTAACTTATTGGATGCTATATTTGCTTTTATGTTGTTAAAGAGCAAACATGTAAAGTTTGTAATGTTAAGTCCGGAGAATGTTGATAAGAAGGCATAACTTACATCTCTGTGTCCAGAGATGTGTCCAGGACAACCCAGTCTCACTCCAACACTGTAACTTGGTCAGTGGACCTCTGTTTAAAAATATGGTGCTGTAGTGCCATTCATGGACAAGCCTGCCAATAAAGTCAGGTGAGGCAGTATAAAGAGTAAGAAAGTCTACATATGGAGCTGGTTGGGTGGATGAATGAAAAAAACAGAGGACTTTAACCCAGGAGATCGATGTTTGTGTCCTGTGTGAAACCAAACGTAAACGTAAGTAAGTTACATTTTATTCATGTACTTGAGTTTGATTTGAAAGTCTAACGAGACGTTGTATATTCATTCTCGCTAACTTGACCTAAGAGTTCTGTGCGTATAGAAATGAGAAATATACACCTTACGAAGCACTGAAACTCATTCGCGATATTTAAGTTACGTTGTAGTCATGTACTTAAGTTACGCCAAGTAAGTAGCATATTTTACAACCTTTAACCTTTGTGCCTACACCTAACTACTACTGGTACCCAACAATAACCATGCAAGTTTTATCTAAAAAATTCTAACAGGACATTTCATATTGATTTTGGCTAACTTGACCGCAGTGTGTCTGGAGCACAAAAAAGAATAAATAAATAATAAACGAATCCCTGAAACCCAAGTCATACAGAGATAAGTAGAAATTTGACCTGCTGGTGGCATTAGTGGATTAGGTCAGGGGATTTTTCATTCTCTGGGCAGTATTTATTATACAATTTAATGGAAGTCCGTCCAATAGATAGATATAGAGATATTTAGCTTTTAATGGGCCCATGACTTCATAGCCCCACCCTCATGACAAAAGCTCTACTTCTCGTAAGGCTGTGAGAATAGCTGAATCATCATCTGTTTATTCTGTCCAACACTGTTTCTACTCTAACCGTGAACTTATCCCAACTCTTTTTTGACAGAAGCTGCTTAAATGCTGCAGCTGTTCATTACTGATGTGGAGGTGTTGACCTTATCTGTGCTATCTGATGTAAAGAGACTAATTACTGATTAAACAACCATACAGTACAGTATTACATTCAAGGAGTTTTTGTAAGTAAGTAACACTGAACAGACGAGGTTGTCTTCCTGTTTCAGAAACCAGTTTACTTCTATGAAGGCCACAAATGACAACACAGGACCTTCTTGAAATTAAGTCATTGTGGAAAGGAAACATGAACTGATAATGTCCATACGGATAGATTCCCCATGAAGTCAAAATTGATGGTTTTATCACATATGGCATGTCTAGCTAGCAGCTAGCAGGCGGCTGTGGCTCAGAGATAGAGCTTCCTGTTTAATGGTAACTTTAAGTGAAATGCATCTGACAGCAGAAATAGGACTCATTTTGCATGGCTCACCTTAAGGCTTATGTTTCCGAGCCTGTTGCAGTGTGCATCTTTTTTCACCATCCAAAATATTCCTACAGTTACCCTCCTCTTTATTTGGGTCTGTAATCAAATACCATTATGGCTCTGCTTTAAACCTCCATGTCCGTCTATCTATAGGATAAGAGGAATATTTCAGGCATGTGAAGGATTGTGAGCGTCTTTGGCCTCCTGACTATGTGCTTGTCCATCATCATTATGACCTCCCGTCTCCCCAACCCTCTGCCACACCAAATCAAAACACCAGACGACAGCTGGCATCAACCGTTCCTGACGTTTCTGTCAAGGCTACCCGTGAGGAGAGTGTTCTGCTGTTCAAACACTGCAGCACTGTTTGATGGTACGGGTAAGTAGGGTGAAATGATCCTGCATCCAAAAGTGTTGCTGTCTGCCAGTCACTGTTTCTCATTTTCTTTTGGAGAACAGGCCCTGATCCGCCTGGTGATTCTCGGGGACACAGAAGCAGGCTAGTCCTGGATTAAGAATTAAACGAGTGGATCTTCATTATCCTGTCTAGCTGAGTCTGAGAGCCTGCCAGGTCTGCTGACCATGCCATTTATAGAAACAATTCTGTGCCTCTGAATCTGAGCAGAGTTTATTAAGTACTTAACTGAGGCAGTGGCAAGCTGGGGTGTGGAGCCCCACAAAAGGTCATAAAATGAACATGGTGGGTCATGAGATAGAAAGCAGCAAAAAAGTTTTTTTTAGACTCTGATATTTGCTTTCTTGTTGTGTTAATTACTTGATCATGTGTTTGATTTGCTGTTTGATGGTGTTGATAGTGGAAACCATGAATGTCATGAATTAATTTCAGTGTTTTTAGTGTCCAGTTATGTTTTTGACAACAAAATTTTACATTTAGAAAATTAACTTAAATAATTAAATGAATTGATAAAACTACGACAACTAAGTACAGTTAAAACAGGGAAGTATTACTTTAACTACAATCTTGCTCATTGTCTCTTTTCCAAATTAGTGAACAGTCATGGCTGTAAAAATATTTGGTAACAGCCCAGTCTAACAGTCTAACCACTCAGGAGATGGATGAGTTTGTCATATCTGAATAATGGGGAGATGGTGAAATACCTGTGACAGGTAATACTTCATTCAGCTCACCATTGAATGCATTCCTCCAGACCAGAAACAAGACCATATTATTATTAATAAAACATAAGCAGTGCTTCAAAAATACTTGCCTTTTCTTAATGTGAAATACGATAAATTGTAATGTTAAGTCCAGAGAATGTTGATAAGAAGACATAACTTTCATGTCTGTGTCCAGAGATGTGTCCAGGACAACCCAGTCTCACTCCAACACTGTAACTTGGTCAGTGGACCTCTGTCTAAATATATGGTGCTGTAGTGTTCATTCATGGACAAGCCTGCCAGTAAAGTCAGGTGAGGCAGTATAAAGAGTAAGAAAGTCCACATATGGAGCTGGCTCGGTGGATGAATGAAAAAAACACAGGACGGGAAGAAACTGTTTTTTGGCGTGAGGTTTTGGTCCTGTTGGACTGCAGCCTCCTGCCAGAGGGAAGTGTTTCAAAGAGTTTGTGTCCAGGGTGGGAGGGGTCAGCCACAATCTTGCCTGCACGCCTAAGGGTCCTAGAGGCATACAGGTCCTGGAGGGATGGCAGACTGCAGCTGATCACCTTCTCAGCGAATCGAATGATACACTGCAGTCTGCCCTTGTCCTTGGCAGTGGCAGCAGCGTACCAGATGGTGATAGATGAGGTGAGGATGGTCTCGATGATGGCGGTGTAGAAGTGCACCATCATTGTCTTTGGCAGGTTGAACTTCCTCAGCTGCCGCAGGAAGTACATCTTCTGCTGGGCTTCCCACTTGAGGTCCTGGGTAATGATGGTACCCAGGAAGCGGAAGGACTCCACAGAGTCTACTTGGGAGTCACACAGGATGATGGGGGCAGGTGGGGCTGGGTTCTTTCCACAACCATCTCCACTGTTTTCAGAGCATTTAGCTCCAGGTTGTTCTGGCTGCACCAGGTCACCAGATGGTCGATCTCCCATCTGTAAGCAGACTCATTTCCACCAGAGATGAGCCTGATGAGGGTGGTGTCATCCACAAACTTCAGGAGC